TTAATTACATCTCAGGCCGGAGGCTGAAAATACTCTCGATTAAAGATCCAATATTATTCTCTCCCAAAAAGGGGGATTGGCACAAAAGGGAGACTAAGAAATTCTACTCAATGGGGAAGGAAAGATTTCAAATGGGCTTAGTCGACATGCACGACTCACACTGACATCCGAAGAGACTAAGGCACTAAGAAGAAAGAGAATCATACACTCAGAGCATACAGAGGAGAAGGATAGAAGCGGCGTCATCCATGTGACGCGGATATGTAGGATTTATAATCATTAAAGAAAATGAACTTATCCACTGATGAGGCGTACTACGAGACACCGAATGTAGTAGCCTTGAACCCTAAATCTAAGGTGGGTTTAATGTTCTACTCAACACTGACACCCGTGTCCTAACTAATATAATATGGGCTTATATCCTGCCTGAAAAGGAAAGACAACTAACCATCTAAGCGCATAAAATTCATATAGTCCGGTCTTCATGAACGATATGAAGGTAGTTTGAGTGTTTTGGAAATAAGGCCGACGTCTAGAGAATTTTTTAATTGGCATTGGACTTATGTAGGGTGAATTATGAGGGATATTAGGTTTATTTGGCCGGGCCTTGGCCCAGGGGAGCTATATGGGGGATTTAAATGCATTAGACATGATCACTTTGACCTAAATAGGTCCAATTTGACCGAGGAAGATTTGGGTTGACGAAGTCAAAGCTTCACTTAGTCAACTTATTCAATTTGACCCAAGGGATGAGTGGATTGGGTCAAGGATACTTTTGAATTTGATTTGACTTGAATTGATACAATAGGGCTTAATGGGTTAACCTGGGTTGACTTGGTCAACCAGGTTAACCCAAGGCAAGGGTCTGGGCCCAATTGGTTAGGTTTGACCCATTGAGTCCAAGGGAGGAGAGAATTCGGTGAGAAGAATTGAAATTAATTTGAAACCAAGTAGGAGTTTGAGTCAATTTGGGTCGACCTAGGTTGACCTAGGGCCTGGGTATGGGATCCACATACTAGGTTTGACCTAGTGAACACAAGGGAGATGGTATTGGGGCCTGGCTTGGTCAGTTTGACCAAGTCAACTCCTTTGACCTAGAAATTGAGCAAAAGAGAGGTCAACATGAAGGAGAAATACTAGCGGACCAAGATGAGGCCAATAAACTAGTAGATCAACTTGTGGACCCCATCAACCTAAAAGCTTAAATAGGTAAGAAGGATTTTTACTATAATAAAAACTACACTCTTGTTTCACTTGTCATATGTCATAACAATCTCCCTCACATGAGGCCAACATATTAGGGTCCCAAGTTGAGCTCAATATGTTAGTATATGGGCAATCATCAAGTCAAAAGTTTAAAGTAACAAATATAAGGGTAACAACTAATATATTAAGAATTCAACTTCGGGTTCATTTCAACAAGTATTTTTCACTCTTACGTGGATCTCAACAGTTGGATTGTTTGTGTGGTAAAGGCTCCTATAAAAGAAAGAATAGCAAGTGATTTGGATAAGGACATCATTTATTTTGGAGAGGTAAATCATTTATTAATTCTGATAACTCAATTTGAGCTAAAGAGCAAGCAAGTAGAATAACCATCACGTTTTGAGACCAGTTGTGTGAAAAAAATGTTTTAAGGTTTTGGCCAGAAATACGGCCATACCAAAAGCTAAGATGACCACCTTACCGTGTATGCCACACTGATGTTACAGACAATAAAGTAATCAACAGAATCACCTGTAAATGTCATGTCTAATTAAAACCTTGAAAACAATAATCGGCTGTGATTAATTTCTTCAGCCCGTTATTATATTTGTACATGGGTGTGTGGTGTTAAATAATAAAACAGGAAATGTTTTCCTTCACTATAGGATTATTTCATCATGTTTGCGCATAAATTTTGAAATGATTCTAGAATCTGACATGTTTTTAATCAGCCTTGATATGTTATCAAGAATCACCTTAATTGAGTAAATATCTCGATGTGTATTTGGATTAAAAACTTCCGAAATTAAATTCAAGACCATATGAACTTTGATTTCAATAACCTTATAATCGAACTCAATATCATGGCAAGATGAATCCAATGCTATCAAAAGTGATCCAATCTGAGCCCAGATCGAGCACTTGAAGAATAATTGAGAACTTCATCACATTAATTGGATAACAAAATGATCTCCAAATTTGGCAATGCTTACAGTTAAATCAAGCTTCTCAACAAGACAAATTTCAACAAGACGAATATCAACTTCCAATAGCATTAATGCACTTAAATGTTAAACAAACACTTTATAATAAAGGCAATCAATGTGGTCCATCGGATGGAGTTCTCTGAATTTTCTTTATGTTTACAGGCATGTCACTCTAAAAAACCTATAAGTAGACCCATACTATTCCCTACATAAGAGAAGAGAGGGGGACTAGACCTAAAGCTTAAACTTTGGCTTCATATTCAAGAGAGCTTTGAGGCTCTAAAAATTTTATAGCACCACTTAGCACCATCGTTGAGCCACCATCCAACATTCACAGTTGGACCACTACCCGACTAACACTGTCAGAAAACTACCCGACATTGTCGTCGGAAACAGCTCAGACGCTATTGTTGGACCACCACTCAAACATTATCGTCGAACCACCGCTCGAACGCTACTGTCGAACCACCGCCTAACCGCCATATTTTTTACACCACTTGACACTGTCATCAAGACATTTTTCAAACCACTACCATAGAAATATTGCCCGATCACCATCACCGAATCACGGTTCTTTGAATCAACATCACCTGACTATAGTCCTCCAACTTATGTCTCCTAGCTACGATCCTTCTGACCAACCGTCAGCTGGCTAGGATCCTCCAACCAACCGTCACCCAACTAAGATCCTTTATCGCCCGACTACAATCCACTAACCAATCGAATCGACTATAGTTCTCAAACCACTGACAATCCCTCTAAAATCAGTGCCCAACTACGATCTTTATGACTATCATCCCCCGATTACGATCCTTCGACCTCCAGCACCCACCTATGATCCTTATAACCACCATCGTCCCACTACAGTCCTTCGACTACCATAGTCCAACTACAATGCTCCGACCTCTGTCACCCTACTAAGGTCCATCGACCTCATCGCCCAACGATAGTCCCATAATTAATGTCTCTAGAACTCGATTTTTCGACCTCTGTTTCCTTACTATAATCCTTCAACCACCATCACTTGACTACGGTCCTTCGATCGCCATCACTAAACTACGATCTTCAAACCTCCGTCGCTTACTAACTTCCTCATTTATTATCGCCAATAATGTCAACGCACGCTGTATCTTATAAGATCAATGCATGTCGCCGATATCAACTCTAACTCCCAATTTCAGCACTAGAATTTATGCTCAATTACTTAGTCTCTTATCTTCTCTTCTCAAAAGAATGCAAACAAATAAACAAGCAAATGATCTCTCAAAGACATCCCCTATGCCACGAGACTCTTCCAACTTCAACGATGTAATATGTTTTTTACATTGTATCAACTCCTCTCGAGGAAGGGCATGTTAGAATTCAAGGACGGATATCTTAAGCAAAAGATGTGTACTAGCATCACCAGCAAAGAAGATGTAAGTTTGTGTTTTTGTTGCCTTCTCAATTAAAGAAAAATGAGAAGGCTTGTGCTCTTAATGACATAGGAACACAATGTGGAGAGATTTCAGTGATGTAATTTGTTTCTAGCAATTTCATAAACATTGGTAACATATTTGACCTTCCAGACAGTATTATACAACATGACAAAGCCCATTGCACTTGTTTCTCTGATATTAAATAGTACTTACAGAATTTCCATCTCCAATTTGCAACCGTAGAACTCCAGGAAATCATAGTAGCGAAATCAACAATTTTGCTAAATATTGTTTTGGTTTTTGGCAGATGAGATTGGAGTGTGATGCCCAGTAAAAAGGTCGAACAAGACCAGCATTGAAAGAATAGCATAAATGGCATTATCATCATCAAGTCCAACGTCTCTGTTGGGTATTGCATACAGTCATGTGACCACACAGCCCTGGAACCATAATGACATTAGCCCACAGAACCATTTTGAATACCGTAACTTGGCCAGAAGGATCTATTTTAGATCTGAAAAGCACTAAAGACATGGATTTAGTATTTACAAAAAGGTGGACCATGTGGACCACCATGAACTGTCCTCTATGCCTAAGGGTTTCATGAATATTTTACTCATTAAAACAATACGAGGAACCCCTATAGAAGATACCATGCACTCTCAAAGAGAACCTCCGAAGTCTCAAACTATTATTCCAACTACAAAGAAGAGCAGGGGTCTTGCTTGCTTCAGAAGCAAGGCTCAACTCCTCTGGAGCAATTACCAAACAGATCCATTATGTATAGAATAGAAGCAAATAGAACCGCATTTTTAAGTCAACTTTTGACTTTAAAACTACCACGACAAGCTTCAGAATTTTTACAAATAGGAAAGATATTGAGAAGAAATGAGAACAAGGACACGGTTACTTAGCACAAAACTGCAGTAATTACATGAAAAAGAAGATGCCATGAGCTTTTCCAGCACAGGCCAAGAATCAGGAGGTAGATAACTAAGCCGCAAATATTCATGGCAACACACCACAATCGAGTACATAAAAAACAAACTTAAACATTTCTACATTACTTCCGCGCTGGAAAAGAATGCTGAGCAGGATACAGTAACTAAGGAGTCACAAACTAGTAGAAGGAATTCTAATTCTCCTTTCTATCTACGAAAGACGCCATGCAATTGAAGGAAAAGAAGAACATTATTTCTAATTCTTATGATTTTGTAAATAAATCAAGCGCGTCTAAAACTGCGTTAATTTCTAGAACCAAGTGACATGGCCACGCATAGCCAATTAAAAATGATTTAAAAAGCTAGCTTGAAGCTTGCTCCTGCAAGCGAAAGCATGACGACAAAAAAAAAACGAAAAGAAGAAAAGAAGCAGAGTAGGAACAAATAACCTCGAGGAAGCCGATCTCCCTGTTCAAGATCTGAACTTCAAGTTGGAGTCTCCTCCGACCGCAAAAGTCTGGGTACTTGGGCGGCGATTTGGGGCTTGGCGCCGCCTTCACGGTCACCTGTGCAGCGCCTTCCATTCTCTGTTCTTGGCCGCAGGGCCAAAGCTTCTACAGATGCCCGGCAGCTATCCCGGCACCGCGGCATTGGAGGGAGGCGGAGAAGGTGGGCCGGACTTTAAATGCGGCACGAGGCGGAGGATTGGACCTCGGCGGATAAGCTCACCGCCGCGCTCTTGGCCAGAGGCCCCCATTTCTTCTCTCTCCCTCTCTAATCTCTATCTCCCATCAGCGTTCCTATTGTCCGATCCATGCAATAATAGCGCACAATTACGGAGAGAGAGAAGAGCGAGGGGGGAGCGGAGCCTGCCGCGCGCTCTGGCTTTGGCACGGTTTTGTACGAAGAATGGCAGGCTTCTCTTTCCTTTTTCTCTCTCTCTCGACACTGCATCGTTTGATGGTATTGTGGGCGGAGAGAGGGAGTGAGAAATGCAAAGGAAGAGGGAGATTGCTTTTTCAGGGGAGACGGGGAGTGGAGACGGTGGAGATGGATGCCGTACAGCAGGCCGCACGTGACATCACCGAGGCTGGGGCCGGCGTGGTTTTAAGACTTGGATGGGACTGTCAATCGAGATATTTATTAAGGGATTCCCATTTGGATGTATTTGCGGAATTGCCACTATCATCATAGGTCAGTGGTGAAGATTTTAGTTTTCCCATGCTTCCTCTAAGTTTTTTAATTAGTTTAAAAAGTATTAGTTTTAATTTTTAGGTTAACGGCCAAAGGCCCACCCTTCATATTTAGGGGCACCAATATTTGTGACAATCTGAAATTTTGATACATTCTAAAACTTTTGGATTGTGGTCAACCCGAAACCTCAATGGGTTGGGTTCGGATCAACAAATAGATTCGTTTTAAAAATCGGGTCGGATTCAGGTTGACCCAGAAACCTATTTTTGATTTGATTTTGACCTGAAAATTCACTTTTGTCCTGAAAACTCTAGATTGATACATTTTTTACCTGTTTTTACCTGAAAATTAGAAATTGACCCATTTCTTGACCCGAAAATTAGCAATTTTTGTTAGACCCAGTGTCATTCGGGTCATATCAGGTTGACCCCGATCTAAAGCGGTTCGGGTTCGGGTCCGAATAACCAACTCGTTTGTAAAAACGATTCGAGTTTGGGTTCAAGCTGAACTTGACCCGTGACCTGAAATTAACACCCCTAACTATATTCAAATTGATTATTATGTTACATTTTTTATTAAGAAGTATATTAAAAAGTATATATGCATATGAAGATTAAAAAAATTAATTTTATATGTCTCATATTATTTAACATTTGGTCAAATATATTCGTTTTAATTTTTTTCTTTGTGAAATATGTTAGGAAGTTTGTTTTTTATCACAATAGTCTTGATTTTTACAAGAATTATTTATTGAAATCAGTTTTTTAATAAATTAATTTGAATTGGTTCGGATTCAACCCATGTGAGTTCAAATTGGTTCAAACATGAGCATTCATGCTTTCATGCGAGTTAATGTGAGAATGACATCAATAGGATTAGGAGACGTGTCAATAATCTTATTTGTTCATATAATTGATCGTCGTACACTTTACATATATATCAAGGGGTCTAAGGGGCCAGTTCCCCCTCGCTCGGTTAGACATGCAGGGGTTTTCGGAGTCAAGGGGTAGCTCGTCTACTGGGGTTTCGGAGGGCACTCGGTGCCCTCGAAACAAATTTTGGTTGTATGGATATTTTTTAGAATTTAAATTAATAAATAAAATGATGAATTCTATTTACTATTTACTAGAGGTAATTTCTTAAATACCATAGTATTTTAAAATTTTTAGTGGGTCAATTGCCTAAAAATCTTGTAATAAAGACTAAAAATATATTAATGTGGACAAATTATCTAAAGATTAATATAAAAAAGATTTTTTTTTTAATGGGGGCAATTGCTAATAGCTTTTTTGAGTCTTTAGTTCCTGGTTCAAGTATTCTCCAAAAATATCCTCTTTTCATGTGCGAAAAAATGGTCTATTTATAGATTGTGAGAGTAACACGTATCGTAAATATAGAAAAAGTTTATGATAAATTCAAAGTAATTCATCAGATGACCCAAATAGATTCCCTGGGTCATGAATTTTTTGTCAAATATTTAATTGTTGCAATAACATAAGAATAAAGTGATCTTATACTCGTTGGATTCGTATCGTCGAGCCGCTTGATTCGATTATAAGCATGCTATATTTGAATAACACTTGCTCATCCTGTTAATGCTTTGAAGCTTTCAAATATTTTGTGGTTCTTTGATTTGGCTCCATTTTGGCTTGGATTAGACCAAATTTAGCGGCGTTTGGTTTGTCTGGTTAAGATGTTCAATTTTATTATAAGTTTGCTCAAATCCGAGTTTAAATGATCCCAAATTTAATTTTGTAAGTTTACCATGCAGATTTGCAACTAGAATTGTGACGATATTTAGTGAAGTGTTAATAAGAATTATTTTTTAGCATAAAAAATATTATTTATTTTAAAAAGTTTTAAAAACTAATTAAAAATTTTAGTTAAAAATAAATGTGAAATCTTGCAAAAAACAAAATCAGAAAAAGTTTCCTATAAACCCTAAATCTAAGAAATGATTGATGGTTGTATTGAATTTCGGTCAGAAATCATGTTCCCAATTTGTATACTTTTTCCCGAAATTGTGTTGAAAGCTGAACTCCAATGAAACCCAGTTCAAAGTAGCACAAGTCCTTTTAATACTCTTGATAACGATGCTTCATTCCAGTCTTTTCGAAATGATTGTCCCTTCTTACGAAATTAATGTCACATTAGGAGACTATTTCCCAAAAAAGAAAACGTTAGGGACTCTTAAAAATTATGCTAAATTTAACTACCAGACTAATTTAAAGATCTCTAGTATATCGGCAGATCATCCTTGACGTTTGATCTAACTTTTTTTTTTTTTTGGGTAAATCCGGGGCAAAAAGCCCATGTATTAAATGAACAAAAGATTACAAATTACAGCAATAAGAAAAGCAGAAAAGACTGTAGCTAACATAAGAAAAAACATCCAGCACGCTAAAAACAGAGATGCTGATGGAGTAAATTACAATCAAAAAGACTCAGAATAAGAAGGACCAAACCCCAGTCATTCAGTAGTCAGAGAGATACACGGATTGCTGTTGCGGTGGCTCAGGTTGCCAAGAGAAGGATACAGGCTTGCATAAGGGGAGGCCATCGCAGAACCTCCAGCAAGCAGCAAACGAACGAATTCAAGCCTGGTTGCCAAGATGACCGTCCAAGGCCTGAAATAGAGGGGATGGCCTTGGTCATCATTGTCAGATAGTAATTTGTCTCCATCAGAATCCCGCAAAGCCAAAAAAAGACTATCAAAATCCAGCTGGAAGATCGGCGTGAAACAGGGTAGCCACAGCCTCCAAAAATTTGTACCAAGAGTAGTATGAATTTGTAACGTAATCAAAACTGGGGCAATAAAAAGAGAGCCCCAAATGCTGTTGTATACCCAGGTATCCCAAACCAAAAGAATGACAGGAAAACAACTACCAGAAATCCAGTAATACCCACCAAAAAATAAGAGCAGCACCCAATAAGGGGGTGCTAAATACCCGATAACCTCCTTAACAGTGTATCTTTGCCTTTCCATCTTGAAATTTTAAGTCGGATGGCGTAAGAGATATTGCAAATGATTTTAACAGAATTTGTGCTTAAGTTCGAGAAACGTCTGATGTTTCTCTCCTTCCAAATGTGGTAAATGACACAGCTAACGGTAAGGCAACCAAGATCTTTCTCCAGCTTATTGTGAGACACAGAATGCTCATAAAATTCAAAAATCTGAGGCAACGTGGGTCTTAATAAGAAGCAATTGAGCTCGGGAAGCATTCTGGTGAGAATAGTAAAAGAGAACTCACAACCAAAAAATATATGGTTGTGATTTTCCGGAAAAGTCTGACACAGTGAACAGGTAATAGGAACAGCCATACCTCTAGAATTCAAGATATCAGCTGTTTTAAGTTTTCCAATGACAGCCATCCAAGAAAAGCAAGCATACTTAAGGGAGAAATTTTTGTGCCAAACAGAGGGATACCAATCAACCTTGATTAAATGAGAATAGAATTGTTCAGTGAAGCTTTTAAATACCCAGTTAGTTGTGCCAGACCAAAGTACATCAGATTTCTCCTCAATCTTACAGTTCAAAATCGCATCAGCAATGTGACTATCAATAGAGTTGGGAAGGAGCCATTCACCAGAACAAATGAAATCCTTCACCATCTTCCCTTTAAAAACAGCACAATTAAGTTCCAGAAATTGTTGAGAACCTTGCAACCAAGGATCCCAGAGCATGGAAAAGCAACAATCGGGTCCAACTTTGAAGGAAATATGATCTTGAATTCTAACAACTGTAGCATGGATTTTCTTCCAGATTTTGGAGGCGTTAGAAGGGGGAGGCTTCCAAGGGGAATAGTATATAGATTTATACCAAGAACTCAAAAGGTTGTTAGCATAAAATCTGCCAATAAGGGAGCAAAAAACACCATGGTAAAGAGCCTCAATAGAAGGAATTCCCAGTCCACCATAGCATTTAGGAAGTGTGACTTTGGACCATGCAAAAAGATGAAGTTTCTTCTCGTGAATGTTGCTGTGGAAAAGAAATCTGGAGCATAATTTATTAATGTAGCCACAACAAGATTTATGTATTATTGCTCCTCTAATCCAATAGGCGATCATGTTGATGATAGTAAATTTAAGAAATTGGACCCTACCTGCAAAAGAAAGAAACTTGACTTTCCAACCATCAAGTAGAGCAGAAAGCCTGCTCAGGAGTGGTTGGAAGTGAGAAATTTTGAGCCGTTTAGGGGAGATGGGAAGGCCCAAGTAAATGAAAAAATCATTTACTTGATGAATCCCTAACACCTCACAGATTTGAGCAGCCTCAGTTACAGCATTGGAGAAGATGATGGAGCTTTTAGAGGCATTAATGAAGAGTCCAGAATTGGAGCCAAACAGATGCAGCCGAGAGGAAAGACTCTCAGCATTGTCAGAAGTAGCTTCTCCAAAAACAAGAAGATCGTCGGCGTACATGAGGTGATTGATGTTTAAGTTACTGCATTGGACCCCCTTAAAAGAAGAGTTATTGATAGGGATGCTAAGCGTTTGGGATAAGCCATCCATCACGATACAAAAGAGAAGAGGGGAGAGGGGGCATCCTTGTCTAAGCCCAGCTGCTGAGTTGAAATACCCCTCAAGGGATCCATTAAGGCAAACAGAGAAAGGAACATCCATAATACAACTTTTAATCCATGTGACAAAACGGTTAGGAAAACCCTTTTGAATAAGTCTGTCAATCAAAAATTCCCGAGAAACACAATCGAAGGCCTTTCTTATGTCAAGCTTAGCACAAAATATTTTGTTTGAACCTTTGAATTCCCTTAAGATTTCAGAAGCAAGTATGATGTAATCCGTAGAACACCTCTTAGCAATAAAACCGGATTGACTATCATGAATAATCAAAGGGAGAACCAACTTCAATCTGTTAGCTAAAACCTTTGCAACAA